ACTTCACCCCAGTATCCAATACAAAGGGGTCTGAATCCATCATCTGCTTTAATTTATTCACACCGCTCCTTGCCTGCGTTAACGTGGATGATTGGGAGTTAACCAGACTTAAAATTTATTATGCATGGAACGAGCAATTACCTGCACTTGAAAAACGCTTTAACTCCTTTGACCACGGGCTGAGATTTCAGACTTCTGAGTGAAAATGCGAGTTTCAGGCTGTTCTGAAATATTCTGCCATGGCATCCTGATCACAATAAATTTGATTTGCTGAAGCAAATCTCCTAATTGTTTCCGGAGCCTGTGTCTGAAACCCAAATGGCAGCTTGGCTGCGGTAACAGACGGCACACGCTTATTTTTTTTGTTCCCGTTTAAAACTGCTTCTTTCAAGCTTGACTTTAATTTCTCACAACCTTGGCCCTGTGGGCTGATGTAGTAAAAAAATCCAACTTTTGGTCAGCAAATGAAACAAACTGTTTTCAAGACACATATGGAGTAAATATGGATGGTAAAGAGGTGCTACCTTTACAGTCACTTTTCTGACCATCCGTTTTGCAAAGGAATTATTTGCAGGTCTCCCAGAAACTGGCTTCTCTATTACTCAGCCGGCCGGGAAGCCGACGGGCCCAGCCCCTGGCCCTAATGTGCTCATTCTCGTGTGACTCATTACTGCAGACGGAGGTGTTAGCCCAAAATGCTCTGAAGCAGCTGAAAACTATCCCATTATGCAGCAGCCAATCAAGGCCTACCCCCCCCCCCCACTTTTTAAAAAAAAACAACACAAAAAACACAAAATCCTTTACTTGACTCTCAGCACATGGAAGTGTTTTGAGGACTGGTTCTGTGGGCTTCATGAAACTATTCTGGGACTCCGGTGCCGACAACAGGCCTCACTTTGATGTCAGCGGTAAATGGATGTTCCAAGGAAGTGGGTTCTCAAACCCCACCACCGTCCTTCCTCCCTACCACGGTGAAACAGGGCGGCTTTGACAAATAACTGCTGCAAAACCCTACGGTCCTGGTTCTCCAACTTCCTCTTTGAAGGAAACTCGGGATTGCCTCTCCTAACCCTTTCCTGATGAAGCTGTTCAGGATAAGGATGGTAAGAAGTAGATATTATCAGTGGAAACAATAATAAACATTTGTGAACACCTGTTACGTACCAGGCACGGAGCCCGGTGTATCATCTCATTGAATGGCCCTAGGCGTTGGTACTATTATACTTCTCATTTTGAAGATGGGAAAACTATTTGGGGTGACAAAGCTATTAAATTTAGGGTCTGTGTTCTTTTTTAAAATTTACTAAAGTATAACATACCTTCAGAAAAGTGAAAAGTCCTGAGGGCATATAGCTCAATGAGCTTTCATAAAATAAATACACCCATGGAACAAGCACTCAGGTCAGGAAAGGATCAGCCACGCCCGAGAAGCCCCCTTCCTCCACCACACAGTCATTAGCCACCCACTCTGCCCAGGGAACTGTGACCGTAACTCCTTAGATCATGCCTGTCGTTGAACTTCAATGGAACCAATACAGTATGCATTCTCCTGTTTAACTTTTTCAACCCACTATTATAGTTATGAGAGGATTGAGATTATTGTAGGCAATTTTTTCACTGCTGTATAGTATTCCATTGTGTGAACATGGCACATTTATCTGTTCTATTGTTAATATGCAGGAGTTATATTTTTTAAAATATATTTTTATTGATTTTAGAGAGGAAGGGAGAGAGAAACGTCAATGATGAGAGAATCATTGATCAGCTCTCTCCTGCATGTTGCCCTGACCAGGAATTGAAACATGACCGCCTGGATCATAGGTGGACCTTCAACCTGAGCCACATCTGTTGGGCTGCAGGGGTTATTTTTAAAGTTGGGGCTATTAAAACAACTCTACTAGAAACATTTTTGTACATGCCTACCAATAACATTTCCATACATTTCTGCTGGGCATACATACACCGAGGAATGAATTGCTGGGTACATTCAGCTTTAATAAATACTGTTAGCAGTTCAGCCTGTGTTGCTATATGACCCGAGGGTTACTATGAACTGAGTTGTGTCCCTCCAAAATTCGTATACTGAAGCCCCAACTCCCAATGTGTTCGTATTGGAGACAGGGCCTTGAAGGAGGTAACTGATATTAGATGAGGTCACAAGGGTCCTAATCTGATAGGACTGGTGTGCTTTTAAGGAGAGCAAGAGACACAGCGCTCTCTCTCCCCTAGCACTCACGGAGGGAAGGCCACATGAGGACACAGTGAGAAGGTGGCCGTCTGCAGCCAGGAAGGAACAGAGTTCTCACCGGAAACCAAACCTGTCAGCACCTTGATCTTGGACTTCAAGCATCCAGAACTATGGGAAAATAAATTTCTGTCGTTTAAGCCACCCAGTCTGAGGTATTCTGTTATGACAGCCAGAGCAGACTCACTGAAGGGGAGAAGAAGTGGGGAAGCTGGCCTCACCTCGATGAGCTTGCTTCCTATTTGGACTGTGGCCTTCCTGGTCCTGGTGTCTTGGTAACTCTGAGGCCACAGGTTTGTCTCCCCAGCTCTTCGGCTCTGCCAAGGCTCAGGTCAGGGCTGCACCCTCTTAGCGGTTTTGTAGCCTCTCATCCCTGGGCCACCTCTGACCTGGCAAGACCCTGAGAACAAAGTGCTCGAGGGTGGTCTGTAAAAGTCTACTCTATCATTACTGGAAATGGAAATCCAGCTGGTAGTTTTTTAAAACAAGGCATGTACAAATAACAAATCAAATGCTATCCCAATGCAGTGGCTGCTAGTTTTTGATATAGCAACCCAACACAAATTTTTCTTCTAAGGATGTCTCAATTTGGAACCCACACTTTCTTTAATCTTTGTTAGCTTAGAAACTGAGAATTTCCTAGAAGGCTAGTTAGGTGACTCCCTGCAAAATGATCAGAATTGCCTAGAATGGTTTTTTTTAGGGGGGAAAGTTTAAGAAAAACAACCACTCAGTGACACTTGAATAAAAAAAAACAAAACTGTCACATCTGGGCTTTGGCCAGGTAGCTCAGTTGGTTGAGTGTAGTCCTGATATGCCAAGGTTATGGGTTCGATCCCCTGTCAGGGTACATACAAGAATCAACCACAACAAATTAATGTTTCTCTCTCTCTTTCCTTCCCTCTATCTCTAAAATCAATAATAAAAAAAAAGGTCACATCCGGTAACTGAAAAGAGAATCACAGATGAAGCCCAAACAAAGCCAACTCAGAGAGCCTGGTTTCCAGGCCCACACTGTTTCCATTAGTGGTGGGTATGGTGCTGGGGCGTCAGCCACTTAGTGCCTCAGTTTCTTCAGCTGTATGAAGGGAATGATCATGCCTGTGAAGAATCGTTCCCGGATCTCCAGAGCAGTTCATCATTATGCTTGGAGCCCCCTCAGCATGGCCGAGATTCGTCCTTGGCCCTGATCACCGATGGTGCTCTGACTTGCTGACGTCTGGGCCTCAACTGAGTCTGGCTCCTTCAGACACAGGCACTTGCTGTTCTCTTTCTGTCCTCAGTGCAGTGCCTCACACATGGCAGGTCCTTATGAACCCGGCACACTGGTAGCTCTTCCCAAACTGACCCACTGAATGGTCACTGAAATGGTGAGCCACACATTACGAGGCAATTACGTCTTCCGTGAAGTTGGTAAGTGGAGTTGTCACGTGATAGGAAATGGTCAAAGTCACCCAAGAAAACTCATTAAATGGCCCACGAAGTACAGAACATGTTTTGGACACTCCATCCAATACAGTCATCGTTAGGCACTCTCAATTCTGAGAATGACAAAGCCAGGTGAAGGGAAAGGGCGATGGGTATAAACTAAGACCTTGGTGCATTCGAAGCTCTCAGTCTTTATTACACCTCATGTTTCTTGAAGTGGCTGGAGACCCGTGGTGATGGCTAAGGAAGGCCTACTACCCGCAGTGTCTCCTTCATTCTCCTTTTACCATGAAGTCTCTAGGACTTTTACACCAAGTGATGTTGAGGTTTGGTTCTCAAGTCGATGACTAGCCTGTTTCCCAGAACATCCCTCTTTTGGAGAGTCCTGGACCCTGGTAGCTTGGTAAAGGCTTTGAAAAAGTCCTTGGTATGTTTAACTTGGTTATAACCATTTTCTCAACCCTATTTCACACTGGCATGTGTTTCCTGTCAGTATATAAAAACCTATTAATATTCTATGAAACATGTTCATTGTGACGTGCTAGGAATGCAGCCTTAGACAGCTACTTAGAGCTTTTCTGACTTATTTTCTAAACAACCCTTAGTACAAGTATTTATCTGGTTTCAGGGCAGAGCAATTAAGAACAAATTAGAAAAGGAGAAGGCTGTCAAATTAAAAAGAATATGGACAGCTAACATCTTGGCAGGAATGAAAGGAACAGAAAAATTTTAACGCATCCATGGAATTATTTTCAAATATTCAACACTGCACGTGGTACGATCATGGAGGTTCAAAATAGTAGCAATTAAGTCCATAAGACAAAGTGACATCCTTGGCAAACTTGCTTCAGATGGTAGGAATATATTTATTATATTTCATCAAGCTTAAAGTTAAGAAGTTTGGGTGTATAAAGGCAGGATTCAATTGTTGGAAAAATTTATCCTCTCACAGTAGCAGATAAGAAAGCCACTGCTCTGTCAACGACACCCTTGGCTTCCCACAGTTCTTTCCTTCACATATTGCTCAGATCACAACCAATTCAAACAGATTCTTTTTTAAAAAAGTTTTTATTGACCTTTTTAGAGAGAAAGGGAGAGAGAAGAAACATTGATAGAGAAGCATCAATTGGCTGGCTCCTGCCCTGACTGGGAATTGAACCAGCAGCCTCTTGGTGCATGAGATAATGCTCAATCCATTGAGCCACACTGGCCGGGCTCAAACAGATTCTTTATATCCCTCAAGTTTCATACAAACCTTTGAATTTTATTTAACCCCAAACATTCTTTTTAAGAAGGACGGTTTTTCTAACAAGTAAATTTCAAGATACCAGAAGTGAAATAAAAGTTTATTTATCTTTTAGGTCATGTCCATTTGCAAATCAAATTCAGTACATGAACGAGGAACGGCATTATAGTCCACACTGCTGGCATCTCTTCCACGGCCCGAGGCTCACCGATCAAGGGTGTTCAGTCAGTTTTCTAGTGTTAAAAAGCCTTTCCGTCGATTTTTGCTTTTTTTCCGAGAGAACATTCAAAGGAATTATTCACAGGAGCAGACATGGTCCTCAGTCCCTTCTATTTTGCACTGTGTTGCAAAATATGGTTTGTTCTCTTTAAATAGTCACCTTCCCATCCTCACTCATTGTATTTGGCCAGTTTTAACCTGGGGATAATGTTCATAGACTGCAGTTCCTGGAAGAGCAGCTTGCAGGCATACGGAATACGAAGGGAAGACACGTGACAGGACGACTTGCAGTAATGGCACCTGAAACCCAAGTCGGCATGTATTAGAGGGACAATGACTCAGAACAAAGGCCTGCACGCAGGAAGTGAGAATCCTCTCTAACAAATTCTACCGCCATTCCATCGAGTTGGTTTTCTACTCCTCGGTGTTCAGCCACACTATCCAAAATGTACTTGTGTGTCCCCAAAGTAAAAAGAAGCCCCCAAAGAAGCAAAAACCAAAACAAAACAACGATCACTCCCCCGGTTTTAAAACCACGTACTTTTAATCAGTTAGCACCATACTTCTTAGACCTTTCTCCTTAAAATGCAAAACAGCTGCCAATATAGTTGTTTTGAATAAGCCCCCGAAATGTGAACCATCTGAAAGTTACTCAGATTTAGACTTTTCCTTGTTGAAAGCATTTTAAACAGATTCAGTCTCCATGTATTGATAAGCATCTACTGCAATGTACTATTCTAGGCAAGAGCTCAACATTTACCATTTGACTTCTGTCACCGAGAGACTTGAAGTATGCTGGGAAAGATGGGACTTTCATATAGAAAGGTGGTATGCAAGGCTCTTCAAAGTTGGTTATTTCTATTAGCATTGGAGCTACTTTACTTACTGGCCCTGTGTATATGCACATATTCCCATTTAATCCTTACAACAGCTCACATTCCTAATCAATATGCCTGCTATGCTAGTAGGATTATCTTTTCCTTCAGCCAGGGAACTTAAAGCCATTGATTAGGTCTTAATCAATGGCTACAACTGAAGAAAGGGTCCCTGAGGAGAACTATTCTATCAGGTTTCAGACCAAAACAGAGCCTCAGCCTATACCTCAAGGATCTGGGGCACCTGGGACAGTAGGTACCCAGTACAAATCCTGAGACTTAATAGGTAGAAAACTAGGTCCTCCCAGGTAACAGGGGAGAACATCAGTGCAAGAGGAATAGCACCAAGGCTTGGAAGATGCAGTGCTAACTGGGAACTGGAGGGAGATCCCTCAGGGAACAATATAGGCCATTCAGGAGGGTGGTAAGGCACATGGGTAAAAAATGTAAACACACATATTATTGAAGTGATCACAAAAGTGGCAAAGATGTGCACGAGAATGTTCACGGTCACACTATTTACAGCAGCACGAAGCAGGAGACTGCTCATAGTTCTGTGAGTCCAAGACATGTATGCAGGAGAACCTGTGCAGACACTGAATGCAATGCTGCAGACACCTCTTTACTGAAATGTAAAGGTGTCCAGGACACACTGTGAGGTGAAAAAAGCAGTCTGCTAGACAGCATGGTCCCAAGCGGGTCCTCAAATGGGTTTCAGTAAATGTATGAAGTTCCCAAAATCACATGTACCAAGATTTTTTTGGTATCTATTTGTATTTCATTGCTATTAAAAACATCAAAAAAATTCATGATTTAGAAACAAAAATGGTTCAGAACTACTGGCAAACAGAGATGTCCCCCAAAGTCACTAAAATATTAACAGGGGTCATCTCTGAGTGGCGGGAATTCTGACTAATATTTTTTGTAACTTTGAATATCTTATAAAGAGCAGGGATCATTTTTGTAATCAGCAAAATAAAGCTTGTATTATTTCAGAAAAGGAAATCACCAGGGCTGAGAATTTGAACGTGCTGGTGAGTGACTCCGCAGATAGGAGCTCCTGAGGAGAAGAGAATGGGATCCACGCTTGGGCCCCTACCAGGGGGCTGTGGGAGCTTAAAGTGCGGAGTATTTGACTCTATCCACAGTAATAATATAAACGTGAGAATTACTTTTCCTAAAAGATTACCTAAAGATCTTTTGAATGCATGACAGTTTACGAATTATGTTTTTAATGTGCCTGGGTTGGTCTAATTTATCCAAGTATCATGTTTATGCCTTAACTGAATTGGAGAAATGGATTTAGCTGGAGCAACTTCTTGCAGATTCTCCTGTCATCATCCTGTGAATTCAATCCAGGCTAATCTACTTAAAACTTCTGTGTGTGCTGATTCACGATCCAGAAAGCCCAATAACCTTCTCTTCTATGAACTATTTCTCCACTATTTAAAATGTTCCAATGCGTATATACACATACATGCATACACAAATAAAAATACATACATATATAAGTAGAAATATATAAATTACCTTACCCTGGTCTCAACAACTCCCAAAGAAAGAAACTTGACCCAAACAATAATAAAATAAACTGATTTTTCAGGGCAAAGCCAGCAAAAGGAGAAGGCTGTGGATTCACATGAGAAATGATTGTCCAGTGAAATATCCTCCATGAGCTAATTATCTTAACAGGGATTTTCTTTTCTCTGCAGTTTTCCTTCTGGACCTCTCTTTTGTGACTTATACCCCTCGTGTCTTCTGTAGAACAGTCTTGCTGTAAATATCCCCATAGCAATGCCTTACTAATGTGCAAATCAGCGACAAAAGGCCAGTCTCAAGGTTCTGAACTGCTCTAATTACTCAGCCTCCATTGTGCTGTTCATTAAAGAGCGACTTCCTCCAACAAACGCCCGTGCTCCCTCCCACACAGCCCAGCACACACGTCAGGTAACATGGGAAAAGGACAGCATCATTATGCGCCTTTGCCTGAGAGCAGCACACGGAGCCTGCCAGCCTTCCAGACTGGACGAGGATGCTTTCCTGTTGGCAACAAGGGATAAAGCAGGCCATTCAAAATCAGACATACAGTTCACCAGGTCTGTTTAATTACAGTCAAGACCCTTAAACCGGGCAACCTGATTTAGTGCTCTCTGAAAGGATTTCAAATACAATACACATTGAACACATGAGCTTCAAAATCAGGCACTGCTATCAGATAATCTTTAAATGTGACAGAAGCAAAGCAGGAAAGAAGATATGAAATGAACAGAATAACGCTGAGACCAATTACTGCTTACCTTAGTTTCCCCAAGTATTCAGCATAAGAGAGCAAGGTTTTCAAAGTGCATGAGTAAATATGATCGTCTTTTCTTTCTCTTTTCCTTCCTTTCTTCCTTTGTCTTTCTTCCATTCCCTCCCTCCCTCCTTTTTTATTTTTTCCCCTTCTTTCCTTTTTTTCCTCTTTCCCTCTTTCTTTTCTTCTTTTATTTTTCCTCTTAGCCATTTCCTCCCTCTTTCTTTTTTCCCCTCCCCCCCCTTTCCTTTCCTTTTCCTCACTCTTCCTCTTTTTTTGGGGGGAGGGGGGCACACGAGAGAATGCAGGGAGAATGGAGAAGAAAAGAAACTCTTTTTTGAAGTTTCATGATCCCTGGCATTTTATTGGTAATAAAATGACTCTTCTGCACCATCTTTTCAAAATAAATTACTTAAAAATCCTTGTGCCAAATTTGAAGATTTAAGCATAGTGGAACTAAGTTTCAGGATCTTCCTATTACATTACATCTTGTTGTTGTTACATAGGACAATAAAACACAAACTCAATATGCATTTCAAAAGACCCATGTCACTGATACAAGAAAGAGCTAAGTTTACGCTCAGAATATTGTCACCCCATCTCTGCAACCTTATGAAAGGCAAATGGCCACCTCTTGTGTTAGATTTTAAAATGAGATGATTTCTTCACAGATAGGTTTCATTGACTCTTCTACATCAAAATTATAAAATAATTGATTTTGGCTAAAAGGATTTGACATCTAACTAACAAGGTATACACTGTGTTCTAAGAAGGCCACTCATTATCCTTTTTTCCCCTTCATTGTTGAGAGTACTACAGATGTCCCCTTTATTCCCCCCATCATTCTGACTCTTAATTTGCTTTATTCAACCAAGAACTGGCAGATTAAGATGGCAAGAAGTCAGGGGACTCATAAGGAAAACGTGGCCCATGTAACTAACCCTCAAGCTCTGGCAATGAATGCTCACCTGTGCCTAACTACCCTTCTGGGGACTGCCCATCCCTAGGGAAAGGGGCTCTGGAAGGGAAGTGAGAGGTGATGAGGAAGATGAAGCTACTTCCCATCCCTGCAGCACCTGCCTCAGATGTTGTTAGACCTGCTCCCTGATAGAAAAGTGAGTAGAGACTGGGGAACGCAGGCCCTCCTGTCTATAGGGGTATTCAGGGTTCTGGATCACGACCAACGCTCTAAGCAGAGTAGTGGTTCTTTGGTGGTGCAGTGGAACCATTACAAGGAGAAAAGATGCTCTAACAACACAAACAAAAGGTATGCAGCATCACCTTTTAAACTGGACTTTGTGTACTGACTGCATCGAACTAACAGACTGAATCACAGTTTACCTACTGACAATCCTAGTGCCAGTTAGCAATATGGTCTCTGCCATCATGGGATTCACAGTCCAAGTGGAAAGCAGCTTGCTGTGCAGACAGAGTACAGACAAGGAATCAGGGTACCAGCTTCTGGTCCTGGTCTGTCACTAATTTGCTGTAAGATCTGGGGCAACACACCTGGCTCTTTAGGTTTGAAGTTAAATGAGGGCATTCGACACAATCTTCTCTAAAATGTTTCTATTAACAATATGCTATAATTATAACACCTACCAATGACTCTGCTAGGATTTTTACAGGTGAAGTGTTATAAAAGGTACTCAAGATAATAGTAACAAGATGATCAAGTCCTTAGTCCTTGGGAGTTTAAACTCCGGCTGTGTACAGAGCAGGACATTAGGTAGACAAAGTGAACATGTACACATAGAATCCCCAATTCCAGGAAAGCATGGACCGGAAGGTTGGAGAATATGTAGGTATGATCTAGTCAATTCTGAGCTGTGCTTTAAGAGGCAGGGGGTGTAATATGAAAGACATATGGTATCCACTTACCAGCCGGAATACCCCAGAAGTCCACACTGCCCACAGACATCAACCTCAAAGGCATCACTTGAAATCATTAGTCGCTCTAGTAAAAGCATACTGGCTCCATAACCAATTAAACAGTCACGTTCCATTTCTCCAAGACGCAAACCACCATCACGAGATCGACCTTCAGTGGGCTGCCTTTGAAACAAGTTAAACAAATGTGTTATTATATTACACAAAGAGGCCGCATCACATGCTGGCTAAGAGCACAGAGCTTTGGAGCAGGGCTCACCTGGATTCAAATCACTTATTAGGCAGTGACCTTGAGCATGCTGCTCAGCCTCTCAGCCTCATTTGTAAAACGTACATAAGACTACCTGTTCCAAAGAGCCTTAAATGAGCAGAGATGTGATCCTAGTGGTTGGTTGCTATTTTTATTTTTAAATAGAAATAATAAGTAATTATTTAAATAATAAACATACAGCATATAAAGTACCAGTGCTAGCATTACGATTACTATTACAATCACGATCATTATTATTAGGGAGGGATGTCTTTTGAGTATTTTCAGAGATGTCTTAGTTCTTTGTTATTTAAAAACAGAAAAAGTGAGCAGAACAGAGTGTGGAAGAAACCCGGGTCCTCTAGCAGTTAGCCCCAGGCCTCCATGTTTAATTTATTTAATAGTAAAATTTTATTTAATTTATTTAATAAATTTTATTTAATTTATTTACTATTAAATAAATTAAACCTGGAAAGAAGCAAATGGATTTTTATAAAATTTGGAATAGATCAGGAGTCACCTGGAGCCAGATGGGAGGTTCCCTAGAGACCTGCCTCCCCCGCCCCCAGTTGTGTGTCCCATACAAGTTCTTCCTTCGTGTGTGAAAATGCTCCATTCCTTTTTAGAGAGAGCACTTGAACTGGGCGGCTACTAGCCCCTGAATGGACTCCCTGTAGTTTATGTATCTGCTGGGCTTGAGAATACTTTAAAAGATTAAGAATCCAGGATCCAGAGATGCAGGTAAAATTTAGAGATTCTGAAACAACTTAGACAACCCCACCTAGGTACTGGTGACACAAATGATCAATGAGAGAGACAGAGAGAGAGAGTCACGAGCACCCTGGCCAGCTGATGTTGGAGTGACACTCCTTACAGGTAGTCTGAGCAGGGGTGGACTATAAAGCTCTTGTTTGCTTTATTCCACAGCATCTTTTAATCTTTGCTATTGTTGCTGCCAGTTTTCCAAAGAGTTAAGAAGGTAAACACACGATTGCCAGCACATGCTGAAATGTTAACTTGTGTTGTTGGTAGTTACAATGGGAAATCAATTTAAGTTGTATATTATTTGTTGAAAGAAAATCTACATATGAAAAATTTATAAGTAGATCTCAATGAACACACTGTAGTGGAAACTTCATAGCTGAGCACAACATATATATGCTTTTATCTGATAGAACCTCCCAGGGACAGGGGAAGGATCCTTCCACCTGTGGCCACTGGACAAGTGAAGGTGGTCAGATCACATGTGGGCAGAACCCACAACTTGAATTTTAACCAACTGAGATAACTGACTATAGACAAATGCACTCCAGGCTGTCTTCATATGGAATACACAAAAGTAATACTAAAGTAATAACTTTTTTTATACAACCAAGTAAAACATAGGAAATAACTGCTTTGACATTTATATTACTCTGAAATAGTTTTTGGATGTTGTAAGTGAAATACAAGTTCCGGAGGGAACAGTATGCAGGGGAAAGATACACCTAACCCAAGTAGGGTCTCAGTGCTGAAGTCAATACTGGCTTGAGAATCTCAACTTCTCTTCCCTCTTCTGTAATCTAAGCACACAAATGCCTATCATTTCAATAGGCATGTGCATTTGCTCAGTTTTACATGGTCAAGGGATTGAGTCATCTATACCTCTCCTGTGGTTTGGAAAACAAAACAAAACAAAGACCCAAATATCAGCTGCTTCATCCTCTGCTCCCTCCACTACACTGTAACATCTAAGCAATGCTCCATGACAGTGGACAGGGACCTGGATATTTATTGAGCATCTCCCATGGATCGACACTGTACACAGTCTATATTCAAACACCTGACATTCACCAGCATGCTGTGTAGTGGGTTTTATTGTCTCTACTTCATATACAGGAAAATGAAGCCGAGAGACGTAAGAGATCTGTCCAAGGCTCATGATAGTAATACAAGGTGGTGATGAGTTCACATCTATGTCATTCTAACCCCAGGGCCTGTGTTCCCTCCCCTGGCTCAGAGTTCCTCATCCTTGGCAGTAGTGCCATACTGAGCTGGGTAGTAATTCTTTGAGGTAAAGGCTGTGCTGTGCATTGCAGGATGTTTAACAGCATTCCTGACCTCTAGATGCCAGTAGCTCCTTCCTTGCCCCCCAGTTGTGGCATCCCCAAAATGTTTTCCAATGTCCCCAGGGAGGCAACATTGCCCTGGTTAAGGACCACTGCCTTAGCCTTTACTGCTCCAACTGGAAAATGTTGTAGTGAGAACACATAAACTTAGTATTTGTAAATTCCCTTTCCCAACAATTATACCCATTCGTCAAATCCGACATTGGGCTTGAATTGAGGATACACTGGTGAAGGGGCATACATGGACCCTGGAGCTTATGCAAATAAGCATGCAAGTACAGGTGTCTTATGCTCCAATCACAGAAGTTTAAGAAAAATGACAGCTGTGGCTTAGGCTACCAAATAATGCGTGCATATGTTTTCTGTGCACACACGGTAGCGTGAGGTGTACTGATATGCATATGTGTGTGTAAGTGTACCTACATTCTTATGAAGGAACTGTTTTGAACAGGACCATACTTGTAAACTGGTACACAGTAAACAATTAGATAGAAGAACATTGTGAAGACCTACGGAGGGTTTGCTCTTGTTCCTGTAAAATGATTTTTAATTGGCTGCCATTTTTTAAATATATTTTATTGATTTTTTACAGAGAGGAAGGGAGAGGGATAGAGAGTTAGAAACATAGATGGGAGAGAAACATCGATCAGCTGCCTCCTGCACACCTCCTACTGGGGATGTGCCCGCAACCAAGGTACATGCCCTTGACCGGAATCGAACCTGGGACCCTTCAGTCCACAGGCCGATGCTCTATCCACTGAGCCAAACCAGCTAGGCCAGTGGTTGGCAAACTCATTAGTCAACAGAGCCAAATATCAACAGTACAATGATTGAAATTTCTTTTGAGAGCCAAATTTTTTAAACTTAAACTATATAGGTAGGTACATTGTTATTAACTTAATTAGGGTACTCCTAAGGCTTAGGAAGAGCCACACTCAAGGGGCCAAAGAGCCGCATGTGGCTTGCGAGCCGCGGTTTGCCGACCACTGGGCTAGGCAATTGGCTGCCATTTTTAATGTAAATCAGACATATATAATTTTTGTGGATGCCTAATACCCCAAAGTTTGAAATCTCAGGGAAACAGAAACTTTGCTGAGTCTGCTTATTGCTGTACTTGGAAATGCAAGGGAGACTCGCCTGCACTGTCAATCCCTTCTGTGAGTGCTCTCCTCTTACCTGGTAAGGACAGCCCGTGGTCCCCGGGCACGGGCATGCATCTTATCCAGCACCATGTGTTTCAGCTTCTGGTAGTACACGGGGCCGAAGTAAATGTATGCTTCCAAAGGCTCCCTGAAAGAAGGGTCAGAGTTTGGGGTTAAGAAACTAAGTTTGGGCTAACAGGAGACAGCCTTTTCTAGGTCTCAGCACTGGCAGGCCCTTGCTTGTTTATGAACAGGTTTCTGAGTGAGTGAAAGAAAATGAAAAGGCTAGATCTGAAAATATAAAAGTACCATGGATACATTAAAGCAGGGGTAGGGCCATTCTTTTGCCAAGGGCCATTTAGATATTTATAACCTCATTCATGGGCCATACAAAATTATCAACTTAAAAAGTAGCCTGCTATATTTGGTCAAACATTTAATGAACTCACCCCTAATGCTTTAGCAGAGCCAGGCCAAATGATTTGGCAGGCCTTATATGGCCCACAGGCTGGATGTTCCCCACCCCTGCATTAAAAGGTACAGTGTTTAATTAAGAAATAAAATTTAAACAGCTTGTGAAACTGTGTACGGAACGGTGCTTCCTTCACTGCTCCCACCCTAGCCAGGCCACCATCCTTTCTGCCTGGACTACTGCAGATAATCTTCTAGTTGGTCTCCTTGCTTCTACTTTCCTCTCTCAACAATCTCTTCTTCACAAGCCAGAGCCATTCCTTCTAAAATGTAAATAGCAGCAGGTCACTCTTCTGATCTAAATTCCCAATAATTTCCCATTGCACTCAGAATCCGTATCAACCAAATTCTGCATGTAGCCACAAGGTCTACGGTAATCTGGCTCCTGCCCACATCGGACTCATTTACTATTTCTTTTCTCCATCGCTCATTCTATTCCCTTACTCTGGCCCCTTCATTGTTCTTCAAATGTAGCAATGAATTTTTAGAAATATTGTAGTAAGAGTTTAAAGGAGTGAATATTTAAGTGCTTTGACAGAAGCAACTTTTTTTCTTAAGTCTGGAGCAAGAGTAGCCGGAGGATCAATGACTTTAAAATTATTTTTACTGCCCCAGAGCTTCCTTCCTGAAAAAAAAAAAAAAGCATCTACCATGTGTCACTTAATCCATGCTTAATCTGTATAACAATCTGTCATCCCTATTTTTAAGATGAAGAAAAAGGCACAGAGTGTCCAAGAGGTTAAATAAGAGCTGGTGAGTGATGCAGGAAGCTCCAAACCCAGGGCTCTCTCTGCCATGCTGGCCAGTCTTGAGCCAAGTAAATATGGGCCACAGCATGATGTAAGAGTAGGAAGAGCAAAAGAAAGACATGGCAGAGAGGCACATAAATATATCTGCGCCTGCTTGCTTGCTATACCTTATACTTTCTGTATCATTAGCAAAGGCCTTTGCACTTATCAAGCCATTTCGTTAGCTTAAGCACAACCAGATTCTTGGAAGACCCAAAGTGGAGTGGAAAAGGGCGTCAGGAGACCCTCTTCTTGTCGCAGTTTGTCACATAGTAATTATATGACTTCTTTATCTCAGTTTTCTTAGTTGTACAACCAAGTGGTTGGACCAAGTTTCTTTCTAGCTCTAATAATGAATGATCCTATTCCTCCATAGTATGACTGCTCATGGTAGAATTCATGGAACTCTGTCACCATTCCATCATCAACTGAATAAGGCCATATGCAATTTTTCCTCCTAGCAATGCTGAAGAATGTGACAAAGGGTGAAAGCTGGTAGGTGAATATGCTTGCAAGCCCTTTGTAGAACTCCGAGATAATTAGGAAAGAAATGAAAACACTGGCTGGAGTATAGAGAACAGTGATGTAGACATAGCCATTAGCTATCTATAGGAAGCAGAGCATAAGCCATTCAAATCTTTCAGTAAAATTATGTTCAGAAGGTCCACCAAAATGGTTCATTTGTTTTGCACACGTTCTGGGCAACTTTGCATTATTTCTGCATGAGAAGCAAAGACTAAGATGATTAGTTTACAATAACAACAACATTTTCTGAAATGAACCTCAGCTATTTTACTGAATCATTTTTTAAATGGACCATTACTCTTTCCCTGTAATGTGATTTTCTGTAACATCTCAAGTATGATACACCTAAAGAAATCCATATTATCACAAGCTGGATAAATCATTTTAGAAAGCACTCAATGCTTTTAACAGATACAGATTTTGACCATTTTAATCACATCTGGATAGTCCATTTGCAGCACTGAAATCAAGCTGTGTGTTCTCACACATGCTTCCACACTGAGTTTCAGTCGTGCATTTCTGAGGTTTAAAACCTCAGAAGAACAGTATAAACTCTGTGTCCCAAAGTTTTACCTGGCATAAAAATACTGAAGTGTGTCTTAATTTAAACAACCAACTTGATCCTTTAAAATCATGTGCAAGCCAAGTTTCAAAACCTTGTCCTTCACAATAATTTCAGGGATATCTGTTTCTCCCAGATAAAAAGAAATCCCGTCCCTCTGCCTGTGTGACCTGCTCTCCCCTTTTCCCAACCTCACTTCAGGCTGCACCACTACCTCCTCACTGCATGGCAGCCAGGCTGGCCTCTTCCAGTTCCCAAACCTACCAAGATCTATCCCTTGTGAGGTGTTAAATACGCTTTTCCTCTACATCAGTGGTTCTCAACCTTCTGGCCCTTTAAAGACAGTTCCTCATGTTGTGACCCAACCATAAAATTATTTTCGTTGCTACTTCGTAACTGTAATGTTGCTACTGTTATGAATCGTAATGTAAATATCTGATATGCAGGATGGTCTTAGGCGACCCCTGTGAAAGGGTCGTTCGACCGCCAAAGGGGTCTCGACCCACAGGCTGAGAACCGCTGCTCTACATGAAACACTTCAAAAGCTTCCCTCCTCTCATCCTTCACATTTCTGCCTTCCTACAGGGGTCCCACCTTCCCACAGGGGTCCTCTAACCTACTCTTTGTCTTCATTCAGGTGAGAGCTTTTTGTATTTATTATTTGTTTTCATTCCTTTATTCAACAAATATTTATGGAGTGTGTGCTGTGTGTCAGGCTCTATGCAAAAAACACTGGAAATAAAACAGTAAACAAAACAGACAAGCCCTGCTCTCAAGGAGGTTACATTACACTTGGGGAGACAGACAATAATATTACATAGTATTATTATACTAGAGGCCCAGTGCATGAAATTCGTGCACTGGGTGTGTGTGTGGAGGGTGTCCCTTAGCCCAGCCTGCACCCTCTCCAATCTGGGACCCCTTAAACCAGCAGTCAGACATCCCTCTCACAATCTGGGACTGCTGGCTCCCAACCACTCGCCTGCCTGCCTGCCTGATTGCCCCTAACCGCTTCTGCCTGCCAGCCTGATCACCCCTTAAACACTCCCCTGCCAGCCTGATCGACGCCTAATTGCTCCCCTGCCAGCCTGATTGCTCCCAACTGCCCTCCCCTGCCGGCCTGGAGCCCCCAACTGCCCTTCTCTGCAGGCCCGGTCGCCCTCAACTGCCATCCCCTGCCGGCCTGGTCGCCCGTAACTGCCCTCCCCTGCAGGCCTGGTCCCCCCCAACTGCCCTCACCTGCCAGCCCAGTCCCCCCCCCCCAACTTCCCTCCCCCCC